CTGCATCATTTGTTCAAAAAAGTAGACAAGTCTAGGAAAAGCAGAAAGAGATGGTCTGCCTAGGCAACCTGAAGTGACCAGCAGAACTGGGAACAAATCTCATGTCCTGAGGTCCAGATAAGTTGCCAACTGGTATTGCTTCAAGTCAAATTGACTGTTATTTTTCACCTGAAATGTATCTCCCACTTTTTCTCTTCATATCAGCATTCGGAATCTGACAGAAGACACTTCCATTTCAAAACTGCAGCCAAAGAAATCTTCCCACCACAAAGTTAGTGGCTAAGATGTTATTTTAGCTAGGCTAATCACTCCTTCCATTTTACTGTGAAACAGATCCTATAATTTAACACAAGTGGGCGGTGGCCTTACATGTCTAGTAATTTGAAGTCTTAATATATTTTAAATAAGAATCAATATTTTAATATTTTAAATGTACATCAGCAATTCATATTTAATTCAGACCCAAAATGATTAACATCACTTGACCTCAGATATGTTCTGCCCCATTTCTTTCATCTCTGTGGCTTGTGGACAGATGCCAGAAAAAAAAAAAAAAAAGAGGAGCATTAAGCATCTTTACAGCATTGAGCTGAACTGTGAGTGTGAAAATGTTAAAAGACATAATTTGTAAAATTTGTAATGAAATCTTATGTGCTGAATTTACACAGGCAGCATTTCACAGAATCACAGAATCACAGAATTGTAGGGGTTGGAAGGGACCTCCAGAGATCATCGAGTCCAACCCCCCTGCCGAAGCAGGTTCCCTACACCAGGTCACACAAGTAGGCATCCAGGCAGGTCTTGAACATCTCCAGAGAAGTTCAGGTGTTTAATTAGTATTTCAGGTGTTTAATTAGTATTCGAAGTGTGCATTTGCAAGAAGATACAATATCTCTGAAATTTAAATTTCATTGCACATTTATAGGTTGCTGTGCATTTCATTCAGTCTCTGGTCTCCTGTTAGTTAATTTACAGTGTCTTGGAGCAAGGATGAGAGTTTATGGGTACATCTGTTTCTGACCAAAATTAGATGTAGAAAAAATTAGATGTAGAGGGAGAATTTTGTAAGTAAATAAATAAATAAATAAAATGGGAAAACAGTTTACGTTAAGCATTTGGAGCATTTAACCTCCACAAATCTTTTAGGAAATGTAGGGAGTACAAGGGTAATTAACAAGTTGAAACCTTTCCAGAGAGGCCAGGAAAGCTACCTACAGAAAGCATGAAAATGACAATATAGCAGATGGCTGTTACATGGTGCGTATCACACACGCTGCTCTGAAGTGAGTTTTTTCTTAAGCTCATTTTGGCATCTTCCATCCACCTAACTGCTGTTGATGCTCAGTAACCAAGCAACATTCCAGCTGTTCAAGGCACAGCAAGTATCCTGGCATGGGAAGAGGAACCCTTCCCCATATCTGGGACACCATTGTGAGCCTGCTATTTCTGCAGAACTGTGAGGAGAGTTTCAGCTTTCAGGATAAACAAGATCCAAACTCTTCCAGTGATGTGGCAACTGAACCCTAATTGTCTTGAAGTTATACCTTCAAGTTATTTAAAATATATAGAAATTTATAAGGAACTTAATGCATTTGAGAGGAGTTAGAGTAGGTAGGGTGTTATTTTGAAATTTTGAAATTTTCTTTTTTTTTCAGCTGATAATCTAACAATGTGGAACTAAGGAACAGGAGAAATCAACTAACTAGAGTCTGAATCAGTTAACTATATATGCATAGGGATATCTTGTATGCTGTGGGCTGTACAGAAAGTCAAAGTTCAGTCTTTCCAGGATGTTTGGTTGATTGACAGCTGTACAGAAATAGTTCTGAACTAATTGATGAGCTTGCTAACACACCCTTGTAATATTAATTTCCTAATATAGTTTTTTACTCCATCAGAGAACATATGTATTCATTTTTCTGTCTGTCTTGTATATATGTCTTTATAAAGGCATGACTCAAGCAAACTAGTAGGAACTGAGCTATCCAAGAAAAAAAGTTTCTTTACATAGATTCTGGTCTCCTGCACCTAAAAAAGAAATAAAAGGACATTGGGGTTTTTAAATCTCTCTGTTAGAGTACTGCAGGAATGAGAATCATTATGAGAAATCTAAATAGAGACAGAAATGTATGTAGGGTTTCTGTTCCTTCTTTTTCCACGGTGGCTATTTCCTGAATATCCAACAGGACATCAGAAATCATTCTCTGACTTGATGTCATTTTGCCTAGGATAAAATGTCTCAGACTTGTTTGGCATTAATTTATACCAGATTTCTCTTTCTGTCATAGCAAAGGGACTTCACACTAGCCAAAAGGGGAATTTATACACATATTTAAGAGGGCTGTTTCAATTGGTATCTAAAAAAATTCTTAGGTATCTAAGTCAGACTGACTCATTCCCAATTACAACAAGCACAGGGGAAAAGAATGCAATTAGAAAAACCTCATGTCCCTGAACAATAAAATGTACAGATCTGTGACACGCTTTCTTTCTGATGTTTTTTTTTCCTACTCACCCCCCATAGAGATGTACGTAAAAGTATATAATCCTCGAACTGCTTTGCTCAGCCCTATAAATAAAGTTGAAATAGGAAAAAAATTCAATAAAACATAAGAAGGCAAATATCATTTGACCTTTCTAAGTTTAAGCAGCCTCACATTTGACGTATTAACTCCTAAGTGTATCTCATATTCAAACCCCTTCTGAGCCTTGGGGAGTTACAGTCACAGTGAGTGTCTGTAAGACCTAGTAGCTTTTTATCCTCTCTGGATTTAAGGAAGAATCATATATTTTCTAAAAATGCTCTGTCAAAGATTTAGATTGGGTGGCTGATATCACTGAGTGCTCATTATATGTTTTGGCTTCTTTAAAGGAAATTGTACTTCAGTATTGTGGAATTAAAATTCTTTGTAGGTCTAGTGACTTCAGAGCAAGTACTCATAACTTTAGAGTAGTGTGGTTAAGTTGCAGTTGGACTTGATGATGTTTAAGGTTTTTTCCAAACTGAGCAGTTCTATGATTCTATGATTCTATAAGTTCAAAATGTAAGTACTTCATTATGCTGCTGATGAGGGAATAATTTGACCTTATTGCTTTGGCATTCTTAATATCTTTGGTTTAAGTGAGGAGGAAATTTTAAAATAGGATGTAAAGATTCTGAGGTTAAATTCATGATGTAATTAAAATTACAGTCTCAGGGTCTGCCCTTTAAGCTTAAATGTCATTGTAAGTTAAGGCTGAAATGATTTAATGCACATTTCTATATTTGGGTGAACTGTGATGGAATGAATTCCAAAATGTGTGCATCAGCCTTACAGCCGGGTTTCTTTAAGATGAAGTATTTTTACAAACAAGGAGAAAAACAAGCGAGTTTTGATTTTAAGAATCCCATACACAAGTCAATCACTGTAATTCCATGTTGTTTAGAGTTGTGTGTCCATTAACATTTCAGAGAAGATTGAAGTTAATGACGTGTTGCAATAGCTTTCAGTTCTGGCAGTGCTGGAAGCAAATATTAGTTTAGTACTGTCAGACAGCACAAAGATAATAACATGCTAAGTGACACAGGCATGGCCTGAACTATTGCTAAGATTTGAAGCTATGTCTTTTTATCCTTCGGCTTTCTGCCCTTCCAGCTATTGCCTCTGCACCTTGTTACCCAGGCCTGAGTGCTGGGAGACTCACTGGCTGCAGTGGATGCTGGCAGAGCACAACACATCCCTCCCAGAAAACCTCTGTTCAGCCAGATCACCAAAAGCTCACTTTTCCTAATGCAGTCTTTGAGCCACTACTGCCATTTTCATTTCTTTCTAGCCAAAAAAAACATTGATTTATTTAACTGTGATTCAGAGAACAGGAACAATGCATGCATGTGTGCTCATGTGCTCTCTTTTTTTGTCTGTATAATATGCAAGTAACAGAGAAGATAAATCTAAAACTACATAGCTGGAGAGATTGGAAGTGGCTGGAGGATTGGAAGTGTCTCATTTTGCTCAGTGACATCACAGACAAGATATATGCATCAGACAAATCTATATATCCAGGCGCATATCAAACTCATGAGCTTGGATTATTTGTCTTCTTCAAGCTGAAGCAGATTGAGTTTGTACCTGATTACCAAACTGAGGACCAAAAGTTGTCCATAAATGCTGCTCTCTACACCATTTTTTTAATTGATATTGGCTAATTAAATGTGTCTTTGTCGTACTAGTCTAATGAGATCTAATGAGATGTCTTGATTTGCAAAACATTTAGAGTCAAATGTTGTAAAAAATAAAAACAAGGTTAAAAATAAACATCTTGCAATGTTTTGATAAAACGTGGACCACAACAGACAACTAAATCCACAGTGATGTTTCCTCTCTTGGGACCCTGTGTTACCTCTTGATAACCACTACTCCTGTTTTCCTATAAGCAGAATACATTTGTCTGCACACGTGAATGTAAAACTGAGACTAGTGAAATCTTTTCAGCCAGTATCTTTGTTTCACTACACTGTCACGTTTGTAAAATTCTCCTGCAAATGTATGTTGTCTTTCACACTGATTTGCCTTTTTTATTTTGCAACTCCAGCTTGCTGTCTCCTGTTCACTGCTTCCTTCAGAAAATCACAATTACACCTCCATGACTCTCTCTTATAAAAGTGAGATTAATCAGTGAGAAATCAGAAAGTATTTCCATCTTTCTCACAGCTTGTGCTTCAACACACCTGACAAGAACATTTGTATCTGACATGTTTATTTACTCATTTGCACTAACAAATTGCTGCCTGTGGGCTGTACAAACAGGTTTTAAAAATCAAACTCTCTTTATGCAGTTTTATTACTTGAACAGAGGCTATCTTGGCTAATTGAATTGTTACATTTAAAGGGTTTCCTTTGCTTCTGGCCGCAAGCAATAATCCATCAGTAACAGTAAAGCTGGTAAATTATCTGTACCATAATTTTCTGTAGCTGTCAGTCAATTAAGAAGCCTGCAACAGTTTTTGCCTTTTCTTATAGGTCCCACCAATACTTCTGGACAAGCAGTTTTCAGAATTCACGCCAGATATCACACCCATTATTCTGGCTGCTCACACCAACAACTATGAAATCATCAAACTCCTCGTGCAGAAGGGGGTCTCTGTGCCCAGGCCACACGAGGTCCGCTGTAACTGCGTTGAATGCGTCTCAAGTTCGGATGTGGACAGCCTTCGGCACTCTCGATCTAGGCTCAATATCTACAAGGCTCTGGCGAGCCCATCTTTGATTGCTCTGTCCAGTGAGGATCCTTTCCTTACTGCTTTTCAGCTGAGCTGGGAGCTGCAGGAACTGAGTAAAGTTGAAAATGAATTTAAGTCAGAATATGAGGAACTGTCGCGGCAGTGCAAGCAATTTGCAAAAGATCTTCTGGATCAGACACGGAGTTCCAGGGAATTGGAAATTATTCTTAATTACAGAGATGATAATAGCTTAATAGAAGAACAAAGTGGCAATGATCTTGCAAGATTGAAACTGGCAATTAAGTACCGTCAAAAAGAGGTGAGTATGCTGGAGAATATTTAAACATATTAACTAGTAGTAATGTGCTAGATAATAGCCTGAAGCTTATCCTTTTAACTGAGACAAATTCTGCTGTTCTTCTACATGGTCTCTTCTTTCTTTATATTTTTAATTACATATATTTGAGTAACTCTTATTATAATATCAGAATCTGAACTGTTTTTCTATAGCCTGTGTCCAAACAATTTTTTCTGTTACACCTGTACAGACTCTCTCCTGTACCTGTGCTCTGAGATACTCTTCAATAGGAGGATGAGAAATATGTACAGCATACTTCAAAATAACTTTATGTATTAATTGTGCCTAAAAGAAAAAGGAAGCTATGTGTTCAGATACTTGTGACATAAGTTACTTCTCTGGAGGTTTCTTCAGAAAGGGTCAATGAGTACTATAAACAGACAAGGAAACATAAGGTTACTAGCAATGTGCAACTCCCAGAATTTTAACATTCTTGATGTTTGTTTTCTTCTTCATAAAATTCAAAATAGAATTACCTGGGTATTTCTTTCCATAACAGTTAAAAATTCGTGAGTATATTTCACAGATACAGTTATTCAATTGAAGCTTGCATTTCTTTTGAAGATATGTATGCAAAAGCAAGAGAATCATAATGGAAAGATGTGTTACAAAGAAAATTCCTCTGAGACTTCCAAAACTTCATTTGATCCCTGCTAGAAATAAGTTGAAATGTATTTTTTCGTCTCATTTGGAACTTCTACATCAAAAATAAAATGAAATGTTGAAGTGTAAAAGCAAGAAAAAAAATTTAAAAAAGGTTAATTGTTTTTATCAGGTATGATATATTTTTTTTTAAAATCTGTGTTGTATTGAACTATTTTATCATTGCTAAGTCTCTATTCTGAAAAAAATATAAAAGTATCAATATTTTAAGTATGTGAGAAATATTTGCAGGAGCAGTAACTACATATGAAATGACTCTGTTGACCATTTAAAATATAATTAGCAATGTTAAGATATCATGAAAACAGGGACCTACTGAAGTACCAATGCAAAAACACCTGAATCGGTCTCTGATCTCATAATAAGCAATCTAGTGTGTATTTTTTTTTCCTTCTGGATATGTACTGCATCATTATATAATTGTTTGTCTAATGTTTTAGGCAATGAATTCTCTGCCTTTGTAAATTATTTTCAGATGCTGCAGTTCCAGACTTGCCTTGCAGTAACTACTTTTTGATTGCTTGAAATGCGAATTTTGTATTAAAATGCACGATCCTATAATCATTTAGGAAATTCTGGTTTCATTAAACAGCTAGAATACAAAAATCTGATAGGTACAAAGCTTGAATTTTCTTAATTTGAGATACAGACAGTCAGAGACATCTGTTGGGGGGAAATGATTTTTATAGTTGCCTTTGATTCCCATGCCTAATTAAATTGCAGTATTACAGCTGATTACACTTTATTGATTCTGTGTAATAGCAAACATTAAAGCAATGCTGTTTTTTTCGTATTTTACATACATTCTTCATTTCTATAAATATTTCCCACTATTCCTCCCCTTTGAGTCTCTCTGAAGTAAAATCAGATTTCATTAGATTCTTTAGCTGTGCTCCTTAATATATTTGCTACTAGATACTGAAGTATTTGCAGGTGTTAATGATTAGTTGTTTTTCTTCTGATGATTAAAACAGTTATTTCTGGCAAATCAGGCACGAAGACCAAGAAGCTTACCTTGGGCATAACAAATACTTGGATTCTAGCTATACTGGTAGATACAGATCATAATTAAATTAGGTCAGATAGGTAATTCTGTTTCCGGTGTTAAGGATTTCACAAGATGTCACAAGAGGTACCAAATCCAGCAGGCTCCAGGGCTAGGGCTTCTTTCAGCCTGGCTCCTTTTGGGCAGCCTGTACGGTATCTAGAGAACCCAGGGTCTCTAGCATACTGATCAGCTACTCATACAAGACAGGCCTGGACTGCTTTCTCCTCTCCATTTTGTCATGTTTCTTCCTTGATCATTCTCTTTCCCCCTCCTTTGCCCTTTCCATAAACATCTTGTAATAAAGTTTATGTAATCCTAGAAGTTTTTTCTGATACTCCATAATTAGTTTCACAGTTTCATGAACCCCATAATTCTCACGATGATACTTTCCCCTCCTTATGGTCTGTTGCAAAGCTGAGGTTGACCCTTCTCAAAGCAGTTGCATCCAGTCCTTTAATGGCCCATTCATACAAGTCCTGGTCTTCATCACTGCCTCCATTGTCCTCTGGTTTCTGTACTTCTGTGCTGACTTCATTTTTTTCCTTTTTATTTTCGATTTTTGTTATGTTGGTTAACCTTTAACCAGGTAATTCACTGTATCAGATGCTGTCGCATTTCATAATTCCTTACATGCTTGATTACCAGCGGAAGAGGAGATTCATAAAATTTATTTGAAAATGGCAAGAAAAATATATGGGATTTTAAATATATATATATAATATATATAATAATTTTTATATATACATATAAATAATTATATATATATATAATTTAATAATATAATAATTTAATATAAATAATTTATAAATATATATATACTTATATATATATAAATAATTTAATTTGCTTAAAAATACAGATTTGGCTTCCTCTGCCCTATATATCTCAAACGCCAAAAGTCAACTCCCCAACAAACACATTCCTATTCTAAGAGGAGAACCACAGATTTAACTTTTTTAACTGGGGGGAAAGAAAGGCTTTAATACTTTTCCTCCTCTGTTTTCCTTTTTCTTTCCCCTCTCCTCTGCTCTATTTTCTGTTTATTTTCCTTTGTTGTTGTTTGTTGCTTGGATGTTTTAGTTGTTGTTGTTTTGTGTTTTTTTTGTATTTGTTTATTTTCTTTTGAATAGTAAAATTCCACATTATGGTAATATATTAGGGTTGAGGTCAGAGATCCATGAATGAACAGGTCTGATTGTTCAGAACATCCAGTCTAAGTCCAAGAAATGTGAGTCAAAATAAGAAAATAATTTAGCATGATGAAAACTGTTTCAGAAATGTGCCACGTTGTTCAGGAGTCAGAGTTCTCTTGTTTTTTTCTTTCAAATTTCAAATTAGTCTACAAATTATAAGCATTAATTTATCTTGGCCTTAATAAGCAGGCAAGCATGGTGATTGTTAGAACTTTGTATCGTAAAGGAGTGCAGTAGGTTTTGGATAATATAACTTGGTTTAAACCAGATACTAGACTGGGTAGGAACATGAGATTGAGAGATCTTGTGGGAAAAGCAGATAACTGAATGATACAGAATTTTTCTGGTGTAAAGAGAAGAAAATTCGCAAATATGAGAAAACTCCAGCTGGGAGTTGTTGAAGAGCTTCTAAAATGATGCATTGTTTGATCAAATATAGATATAGAATTATCTTGTAATGAACAAAGGTCATTAAAGTTGGAGTGATTAAGCACTGCTCAATGTAGTGACCTACTAGCCCATGGTACCACATTTGTATTATCATCTATGGACATAAAGAAAGCATACACATTCAGAAAGTTAACTGATAAAGCCAATTGCTTTGTGAGTAAATAATAACATGAAAAAAATGTACCAAGTTTACACTGTGGAATGATATCTGCAGGACTGTTAAGAATATCCTCGCAGACTTGTGTGGCAGAACTAGGAAGTATCTGTCAGCACTTATGTGTAATTACCTGCAATTTTAGCATGGCACATGGGACAGAACACCCAAGGTACATTTTTTCTTTTAATTTTGCACCACTAGTGCTGTTTGCTTGTAAGAAAAGAAGAGTTGCTAATGCTTATGATGCCACTTTCTACCATTTCCCAATCTACAACTGTCAACAATATGAGAGATTCCCTGATACCACCACTCTACATTGGGCGCTTACTCTGTGCTGTATAATAATATCTAGACTAAGGCAGAGTTTAATTTTGTAAAGGCTGTCACTTACATTTCTCTGTAAACAGTGAGAAATAGTTTCCTGTTTTCCTGAAGCAAATAAAAATACTGCCCAATTCAACTGTGGTTTCATTTAAGTACTCAGAAGGAATATCCCCAGTTTTGTATGTGATTCACAAGCAGAAGTTATTCTCAGATGTCACGTATGACTCATATGTCACTCTGAGTTCAAGCAGATTGCAAACCATGGTGCAAAAATGCAGTTAAATACTGGAGAATAGTGCAGTCTATAATAAGAAGTAGAGCCAGTCATCCTTGCTGCTGACTGTGGAGTGGGTGTCTTGTCTTACATATTGAGACTATGTACTAAAGAAATCTCAGCAAAACCACGTTGTCTGCCACTATTCAATTAGCTTGTTTTAACTGTGGTTTTGCTTAGATATTATACATGTATCTACACAAATGGGAAGAAGCATTTACTACAATGCCTATTAATTGTCAACCATATCTGAAATGGAGTATTAATAGGCTCTAGTCTCTATATTCTAGGTTCATAAAAACTTTTTTTAGGGCAATGTAAAAAATTGTATATGTAATTTATCTCTCTGATTAGCCTGGCCTGCCTCATACTAACTGGCCACTGTCATTTAAGACATAGTTCAAAAATAGTAGCAAGCTATGGTTGCCATTATTGGCAATACTATCTCATTTTGCTTTGCTATTAGACATTTGGTTATCAACCCAGAGAAAAAGAGAAATGTTAATTATATTTATATTCTTCACTTTTCAAAAGGATGGAGGCTACCTGTTCTGTTTTGTTATGGCTTGTTTGCTCTTTTTCCCATTTTTAGTTTACCATGATCATATTTCTCTTCCTCTGTAAGTAGTAAGCAAAAGATCTTCTTCAGTCTTGGCTTTTAGGATACCATTCATTTGAGGAAAAAAATTTTAAAACACTAATCTAACTAGAAATGGGTAAGAAACATGTTTGCAAATTCCATTTTTCCTGAGACCAAGTATGAGACCTTAGAGTCATCTTGTCTTCTTGATGGCACCACTGTTTTTATACAAAAATAGTGATTTTCTTACAATACTTGCTATGGAGGAACAT